CTTTTTTTCAATTTATTCATTATTAAATGGTCCAGACTTAACGATTAAGTTAAGCAATCTCAGAAGACCCGTGTGGGGGCAGAGATTAAGTAACCTCTTCCAATCTGGGAGTTTAAGTAAATAACCTCTGTGTCTGAAGTCCTTTGTGTATCTTTGTATATTTATTTTATTTTTATATTTTTATTTAGTTCTATGAATTATACTTAATTATAAAATTTCATGGTTTAATAATTTTCTTTTGGGTAGTTTGGTCTTAACCAAAAGTTAAACAGATATCGCCTTCCAATTTGGAGAGGGTTATAAGATTATAAAGATTATAAGTTTACTGTTTTTATAATATATGAAGTAGTATAGGTACGGTGATGCACAATATTTAAGTTAACTATTATATTATATTTTTTTTATGTAAGGTGGAAATTAATGTTTTGCGCAAGCGTCATGCCTGGTACCAAGCTAACGACGAACCGTTCCATACTTTGATACATTTATTAATTTTTTTGGGTTATGCATATACATACACTGTGTAAGTTTTTCCTTTTAATTTCCTCCAACTTTTTTTTTTATTATCTAAGCCATCAGGTAATTAGTTTGTATATTTACTAAATATTTTTTTTTTTTTCTTTATAAAGGAACATAAGTTGAGGTTTGTCTTTTATTTCTTTCCTCATTTACTGGGTTTTTGGGGAAATAGGATCATAGTTTGGCCACTATATAGACCCAGTTGGCGCCTATTTATTTGTCTACTATTTCCGGAATTTTTGTAAGCTATCCACCCCCTAGCTGCCGTCTGAGCGACGTCGAAGGCCCGAAGGTTGACACCGGAACAACCGAAACTTGTGTAACCGTAGTAGACAACATTTTTAATTGTAGTTAATACTTTAATATTTTTTTTTTTTTTTTGTTTAAAAAATTTTGGTGGAATCACCAAGTTCATTTTGTAGGTTACAAGCAGCCATCATAATTGACGTGCTGCTTTTAGAAGAATCAATAATTCTATTTATATGTTTGGATCCTTTTTTACCAACGACCTTTGATCTTCCAGGATCGTCAGTTAAATTTTGGATTCATCATAATTAATTATGTTCTCTGGAGGAATAGGTCCCATAACAGCCTGAAGGTTATCAAAATATTCTTGAACTTTTTGCCTATCGACTTCTGCTCTACTCCTCTTGATATTTTGTGCAACATAAATCCATAAAACCAATCTTCCCCGGGCATGTTGTCTTTAAATCCTGTGATTTTTGTTCCGGATCTGTCCAAATATGATTTGACGATTAGGCGAATATCCAGCCTAGTTAAGGAAAAGCCCCATTCGGCGGAAGTTAAAATTCCTTGTGCCAGTTCACTCTCTTGTTCTTGGCTTAATTTGGTTTGCCCGCCACTTTTTTTAGCGTGCTTACCTGTCATTTTGTCATTTATTGTCGATTTTGGTGTTGTAGAACTCTGCTGTCTCCCTCAGGGTCTTCCTTTTAGTTCTGACATCTTCAACAGCCTTATTTAAAGCCTCTTTGGCATAGTTGGATCTTTGTTTTACGCCAAGAGGATGCCTGTAATTTTTGGGCATGGTGTCCGAATTCGCCCCACGAAAAGCTATATTTTTTCTATAACAAGAAAAAAAATTCGGGAATGAAAAAATAAATGATAATTATTCATGAATCATTAGAAAACATATAAACCTACATTATATGAAAAATTACGATTCATTTGCTTACAGATCCCTTCCCCCAGATGTTCGTTTCTAACGTTATAAAAAATATGCAAATTACGACCCATATCAAAATATCCCGTACTTACCACAAACTTTCTCTAGCGGCAATTTCTACCTAACTGGAGTGAAATGAGACAATGGGTCCTATGATTGAACGTTTACGTTATCCATAACGTACATGTTAGGCTCAGTTTTAACAGTAATTAGGCAAGTTCGTATGATGAAAAACGGTTTCCAACACATTACTGTTATTTTCCGCCTGTTATGTTCTAATTTAACAGTTTTCCATCATACAAACTTGCTTAGTTACTGTTAAAATTCGACCTAACATGTACGTTATGGATAACATAAACGTTCAATCATAGGACCCATTATTGGACATGTAAACACATGCAAAAAACTTCGCCAATGAAAATCGTGCTCGTGGTCACGTGATTTCCCACGCCGCGCACCATTGTCCGAACTCGTACTACCTGTCCGATCTCACCCCAGATTACGGTAATTGATCCAAATTTTTTATTAATCGTTCAGGAATATTTTTTAGACAATGTTCTGAAATTTGTGGAGCAAATCATAGACGCACATACATACACACACATATCTGTAATCTCTGCTTGTTTTACAATATTCTAGTTTTTACAATCTTTTTTATCTTAAATATTATCCACTGGCGAGCTGTTGATGAAATATGACAATAATACAGTATGAACAACGTTCTTAATAAAATATTGGTAATTGTTGAATTTTTTTTTTTATTTGCAGATTTCTGTTCTTCTGAATCAAGATCGAAACATATTGACGGACATTTTGGGAAAGACTTTGTGGTTTGTAAATTTTGCGGAAAATTCATGACAAAAATGATTTTCTTTCGGCACCATTTTATTCATGTGGTAAAAAAAAGATTAAGAAAAAATTCTTTGGAAATCAACGACGTTTCAAGCTTGCGAACACATTTAATAATTTGCAGTAATGAAAAACCATTTAAATGTGACATTTGCTCCAGAGGATTTAATCAAAAATGTAACTTACAGCAACATTTATTAATTCACAGTAATGAGAAGCCATTTAAATGTGACATTTGTTCCAAAGGGTTTAATCGAAAATATTGCTTACGTGCACATTTAATAATTCATAGTAATGAGAAACCATTTAAATGTGACATTTGTTCAAAATGTTTTAATTACAAATCTAACTTACGAACACATTTATTAACTCACGTCAATGAAAAACCATTTAAATGTGACATTTGTTCTAAAGGATTTAATCAAAAAAATAACTTACGGGTACATTTAAAAATTCACAGTAAAGAAAAACCATTTAAATGTTACATTTGTTCCAAAGAATTTACTCTAAAATCTAACTTGCAACAACATTTAATAATTCACGTTAAGGAAAAACCATTTAAATGTGACATTTGTTCCAAAGAATTTAGTCTTAAATCTAACTTACAACAACATTTAATAATACACAATAAAGAAAAACCATTTAAATGTGACATTTGTTTCAAAGGATTTAATTTAAAATTTAGCTTACGGTCACATTTAACAAATCATACTAATGAAAAATCATTTAAATGCAAAATTTGTTCCAAAGAATTTAATCGAAAATGTAACTTAAAACAACATTTAATAATTCACAGTAATGAAAAACCATTTAAATGTAGTATTTGTTTCAAAGGATTTAGTCAGAAATCTACCTTAAAGCAACATTTAATAATTCACACTTATGAAAAACCATTTAAATGTAATATTTGTTCTAAGGGATTTAATTACAAACCCAGCTTACGGTCACATTTAATAATTCACAGTAATGAAAAACTATTTAAATGTGACATTTGTTCTAAAGCATTTAATCGAAAATATAACTTACAACGACATTTTATAATTCACAGTAATAACAAATCATTTAAATGTGATATTTGTTCTAAAGAATTTAATAGCAATTCTTACTTACGGAGACATTTAATAATTCACAGTAATGAGAAATCATTTAAATGCGATATTTGTTCCAAAGGATTTAAAAGCAATTCTTACTTACGGAGACATTTAATAATAACTCACATTTAATTGTTACATTTGTTCCAAAGGATTTAATCACTAATCTAACTTACTGCAACAATTTAAATTGATTTAAATGTGATGTTTGTTTCACAAAATTTAATTTAAAATCTAACTTCATAACAAAATTTAATACTAATTAACAGTAATGAAAATGTATTCGCAGTAGGTCCGGGTAATTGAGACTCTTATTTGCAAAGTTGACTATGGTTCGTTATGAATTAACATGAATTTTTTGAGAATATGTAGATTTTTTTATGAAATCTAGGAACATTTTCTTAACAGAATGCATGTACGCAAAACTCCATTTCAGAAAGTTTTATAAAACTTATCTACATATTTAGGTATAATCTAATGTAAGAGGCACTGTTCTACCCTAGCTTTATTGGGCTTGACATATACTGCCTTCGATCATGGTGAACTGTATCGTAGTATATTACCTGGGGTGGAGGCCTTATGCTCCACCCTGTAGCCTCTGGGAGATATTCTTGAAAGTCTGGTTGAAGCACTGGGTTTATTCAAATAAAACTGTCACTCTATATTTGAATTTGATATATTCACGGTTTGATGATTTCACATTTTACACATTTACTACTTGGATACATAAATTTATTGATCGATTACATATTAACTTTTGTAAACCAACTCGCACAATGCTTGAAATTTATTTACGGCGAATGCCGGCTTTGTAAGTGTTTGACTTGTCGCTTCGTCGACTGAGAAAACGAAAGTGAGCAGCGTTGCCAGCAATAGGAAAGTAAAAGTACTGCAGTAATACTGAAAACGGTATCGACTGAACATAAAAAGTACTGACAGTTGACAGACAGTTGCTCCAACTGAAATGACGAGCACATAATGACATTCAAAAAACAATTTGAGTTCACTAATTTCGTTTTTCTGTCTCTCTTAAATCTAATATAATAGGCAAGGCATATCTCTAAACTCTGTGGTGAGTGAAGCAGATTGCACACAGATAACTTTCTAAATTATAAATTACTATCCTATTGAATGTGTCGTGATTGTGATATATATATATATATATATATATATATATATATATATATATATATATATATATATATAGGCTTTTTATTTAAAATTATAAACTAAATTAAATGCTAACTCATACTTATTCTTACGTTACTTTAATTAATTTTTTTTAGGGATAAATAATACTCAATTACATTCAATATTCAACTTTTTTATTAACTAACAAGTCAGATGGAACCCATTCCAAACATTGTTTATTGTTTAACAGTTCTTTCCCCATTAGCAACGAATTTATTGTGGTGGGCAATAATCGATTCCTATTTTTGGTTTTTATATTATTTAAATCAGAGAATGTTCTCTCTGCACAAGCACTACTGTGGGGTAGACACATAATATTGAACACAAATAAACAAACATTTTCAAAACATTTCTCATTTAGTGCGTTTTTAAATTTAAATATTTTGAACCAAAAATGTTCAAAATCTAAGGTCAATAAATCACTCTTAATGGATTCAGGTAAATTGCAGATTTCTCTAAATTCACTACTAATTTCCTCAAATTTGTTTTTGCAAATATGAGGAAATGCAATTAGTAGATCGATTATACTTGAATTGCCAGTAAGGACATGAGATGGACTTAAACATTGAAATTTTTTATATACTTGGATGTTTTGAAATCGTTTCTTTAATTGTGAACAAAGTTCAATGTAATAACTTAAACACTTAAGTCTGAAGTCATGAATTTCATGATTACTAGAATTTTGGGATTTGATTATAAAATTAACATTGGCTCCTAGATATATTTCTTCAAGAGGTTTGTATTGTCTTGAATTTAATTCATCCCATTCTAAAAAGGGGGCACTATCAATGTAATTGGATTTCATAAAATTTTTAAAATTGTTTTAGTAGTTGTTTGAATTGCGTCATGTATATTATATAATTGGGGTCTTTCCGCTTGAAACTCCAAATTTAATTTTGTAATTAATGGTAAAATATATGCAAGAAATGTTAAATATAACTTAAAAATTACATTATTTAGAGCATTGTGAATGGTAGAAGCTGCGACCAAATTATCTTCTAAAATAGCTGCATTAAAATATAACAGCAGAGCTGGCCACTGTTCAAGAGTACGTTTCACGACTGCCTAAAAAAAAAACAAGCTAAAATAAATTTCAAATACTAAAAAGCATTTTAGATAATATACACATACTTCCAATGACAACCACCTTGTCTGGCTTGGTTTGAGAAGTTTATGAGGTTTTAATCTGGCATATTCCTGAAACTCTTTATATTCGACAATACGCTTGCTGCAGATGCACAGAGGTGGAGGGAGTGGCAAATACAACCCATAACAAATATATTGGGATTTATTTGTTTTAGCTTAGCTTGTACTCCATTAAATTTTCCCATCATCACAGCTGCATTGTCAGCCGCAAATCCCAATAAATTTGAATGAGGTATTGATAAACTTTCAATAGTAGTTAAAAATTTTTGTAGTATTCCTTCAGAAGTGACATCTGTAACTTCAACCAAAGCTAGAAGTCGATCCTTTACTTTTTCTAGTCTTATATCCACATATCTCACAAGTATGGCTAAACATTTTTTTACTGAGACGTCAGTGGTTTCATCAACTATTATGGAATAGTTTGTATCTTTTAGAATGGATGCAATACTTTGTTCACTGTCCTTTTGAAAATTTTTAAGCAAACGTAGTTTTCGTCCTTGAACAAGATATACTTTTCAAAATTTCTGAGTCTGGAGCTGCGGATGATAATAATTTGGGCAAATGGTCCATTAACAGTAAAGGTAAATTGTGCTCAATGGCCATCATTGTAAGTTTCATTTCATATTCCTTCACTTTCCTGGCAAAAACTTTTTTTTCTTCAACTTTTAAATTATAATTTCTCATATCAATAGTATTTTTTATTGAATGTTCCCTTTTCTTGTGGGAAATTCTTTTTTCATGTCTTTCCAAATGTGTGTAACTACCCGTTACATTCTTATTACAATATTTACAAAAGCTGAAGCCTTCTTTATCAACTAACCACTTAAACCGCTTGGTGTAGACCTCACGACACTTCTGAATATATTTCCCTTTTTTTCTAAAATGAAAAACAATATTTAATAACAATAAACATAGCTGAACATTTTATCACTTACATTTCTTCTGGTTACATCTGGCACAACTTCTATTACCCCATTTTCACTAATATCTGATTCAGATTCAGATCCATCAGTGCTACCAGCTGCAGTGGAGCTTGGTAAAGCAATAGGAATAATTGGCTCTGTAACTGATTGTATGGAAGTTGAAGGTTCTGAGATAAGTGGTTCAGCAATTTGTTGGTGTATGGGTTTAAAAAAACTAAAAAAAAACACATTTACAATATCATATTATTTATAAACTTAGACATACCTACCTAATAATATTAGATTGTTTAGCCATAGGAACTATTTCACCAACAATCCAAAAAACAAAGTATGAACTATACTATACGCCAATACGCCCCAAAGGCCAACACCACAACCTGCACCAGTCAACCACAAATATGATGATATATATCTACAAACTACAAATACAAAGTTAACACACAAATGCTAAATACTACTGATTACTATTTAATTACCTGCTATACTGGAAAATGCGACGATTACAAATTACGACGAACGATCGAACATCTAACAATTTTAACCACAAATTCTAACGAATCTTGCGTCTGTTACTGTCACTGGTCACTGTCATTACTGTCATTGTGGTTTGTCGTTTGTCAAATAAATGTCAACCGTTTGTAATTAACAACCATAGATCATGACATTTATAGAGGAGCAAAGCACGTAAAGTAATTTTTTACTGAGAGTGAAGGCAAAACAATAAAATATATATTTTTCAAACTCTACCTCAAACTACTTGCCTTGAACAGAAAAAGGTACTGATGGATAAAAAGTGGCACTGAGGTACTGATAATGGCCAAAAAGCACTGATTTCAGTACTTTAGCACTGACACTGGCAACGCTGAAAGTGAGTGTTTTGTTCTGCTATGCTTGTTAGCTCGCATCGGTTTTACCGGCTTTTTTCTAATTGGTTATCTAGTATCGTATGATTGCACGCGAGAGTAATGATTGGGTGAAAAAATCTCGCGTGACTTAGTTTTAATTGTTTGCGAAGTAGCAGGTGTCTTTGAAGGTTATTTGAAAGTTAACCGGGTTGTTATTTCACAACTTTGGATAATTGGTTTATACAGGGAGTGTCCATTTAGTATTTTATTCTTTTTGTTTGTTAAGTGCGGAGGTTTATACAGGGAGTATCTATCTAATATTTTATTCTTTTTTGTTTGTTAAATGCTGATTTAGATTAGCAGATAGGACATGTTGAATGTAATTTCAACTGTCATATTAGGCACTTTTGGTAGTTAATAATGACACACGCTGAAACGTAGCTTTGAAAAGTAATAAATGTATAGTGCGATTGATACTAACATTTGTTTAAGTCCGAAACATAAATGGTAATAAAATCGAAAAAAAAGAGCAGTAAAATAGTAACATTATTTATTTAATTTTGGACTGTTTATTTCGGGAAGGAAGACAGTAACGTAACTTAACAAATGTGTGAAAAACTAAAATTAAACATTTTAATGCTTAAAACAGAACACTTTATATTTATCCTACGTTTAGAGTTAACAAATACATACAATTTATCTGTAGAAATGCATTCAGAGAGTTGTGGTATAGAAATTTGTGTTAAAAATGTAAAATACTGTATTATTGTAATGTATAGACCGTCTGGAGCCAATGTAGATATATTTTTTAATCAAGTTACTGAAATATTAGATTATTGTGTAAAGAAGCATAAAAATGTTATTCTTTGTGGAGATCTGAATATTGACTACTTAACTCAATCTAACAACAAAAATATTTTATTAGACCTTATGCAATGTTATAATTTGACAATTCAAAATACAGATCCCACGAGGGTACATAAAAAGAGTAATGGGACTGTTTCAATATCAAAACTTGATTACGTATTTACAAATATGCCTATAGATACTTATAACGAAACTGTTCATGATCTGAATCTAGGAGATCATTTTGGTTTAATTTTAAATATAAAATCAGAATTAATTACTCCTGTAAAAAGACAAATATCTTTTAGAAATCTGGGTGAAAATGCTATTGGTAATCTGCAAAACTATTTTCGACATAATCGTAATTTTAATGAACTAGGCAACTACGCAAATATTAATGACATGTTAAATGATTTCTATGGTGCTATTAATTTTGCAATCGATAAATTTTGTCCAATGGTTAAGAAAATAGTTTGTTTAAATCAAAATAGGAAATGTAAATGGATTACCACAGCGACAATTGAAATGGGTAATAGATTAAAAAACCTGCATTGGTTAAAACAGAATTTTTATGATAAACATTTAGAATTAGAATACAAAACTCAATTTAAAAACTATAAACAAAAACTAAAACGTGATAAAATATTTTATTATCAAAATTCAATTGACAATAAGACGAACCCTATTGAAATGCAAAAATACGTATGGAAACTAGTTAAAGAAAAAAGCGGCAGAATAAAGACAAATCAACAAATTAAATTAAAAATCAATGAACAGATAATTAAAAATAATTTTGAGGTAGCAAATAGTTTTGTTAAACACTATAGTAATGCAGTAAAATTATTGAATGAAAAGTATTTTGGAAGCGCTAGTACAGATTGTACAAAATGTGTTCTGAGTAACAGTAATTCGTTTTTCTTTGACCCAGTAAATAAACAAGACGTTTTAGAGATAATTGGAAATTTAAAAAATACTAATTCTGTTGGAGTAGATTGCATACCCACTAAAATTATTAAAAATATTGCTTATTATGTAGCTGAACCTTTAGCTAATATAATAAATGTTTCCGTTCAGGATGGTGAATACCCTGAAGATTTGAAAGTAGGATTAATAACTCCTTTATACAAAAAAGATGATCCGCTAAGTTTAAACAATTATAGACAAATAACAGTATCAAATGTCATAAGTAAAATAGTCGAAAAGGCTATGTATAATAGGATGATTTCTTACTTAGAAAAGTATAAGATCATAACTAAATGCCAAAATGGTTTTTACCCTGGTAGATCAACGGAGAGCGCTATATATGATTTTGTTGAATTTTTATACAAACGCCTTGATAGCAAAAAAGTTATTGGAGCACTTTTCTTTGATCTTACACAAGCTTTTGATTGCTTAAATTTGGATTTTGTGGAAACTAAACTTCAATCTTTAGGTTTTCGAGGAAATGTGTTAAGTTGGCTAATGTCATATTTAAGACATAGAAAAATTATTGTCAAAGTGAATGAAACTTGTTCAAATGAAGGTAATGTAGATATGGGGGTTCCTCAGGGATCCGTATTGGGACCATTGATATTTCTTATATTTATAAATGATTTACCAACATACTTAAACGCAGATTGCATTGTTCTATATGCAGATGATGTGTCAGTGGCTTCTTATGCGAATTCTCTAGAAGAACTTTCAAACAAATTGAATTTCCTCTATAACAAATTCAATGAGTGGTGTCTACAAAATCACCTAATATTAAATTCTAAGAAAACGGTACTGATGAAATTTAACATTACTAATAACATTGAGAATGTAATAACAGTGACAACAGATAATCTAAATATGACAATGTCCGAGTCTACAAAATTTCTGGGAACTTTTCTTGACAGCACCTTATCATTTCAATCGTGCATTGATTATATTAGTAAAAAGGTTAATAGTGGGTATTATGTTTTATTTCAACTAAAAAATATTTTAGGCAAACAACAACTTATAAATATATATTACGCAATGATATACTCTCATTTGTCATATAATATAATTGTGTGGGGAAATTCATCATCCTCTAATAGGCTTTTCATTTTACAAAAAAGAGTTTTGAGATTAATTCTTGGTCTTAATAGAAGAATATCATGCAAATCATATTTCCAACAACTTAATATTTTAACACTGCCTTCTATTTACATTTATAAATGCATAATATATATTAGGAAAAAAATTAATGAATTTAGTAAAAATTTAGATAATCATAACTACCAAACCAGGCATGGTAATTTGTTACGAATTCCGAATCATAGAACAGCGTTCTATCAAAAATGTCCGTCATATGCTGGCATACAATTATATAATAAATTGCCCCAGTCAATAAAAGATGAACAAATTTTTAATTCTTTTAAGAAAAAACTTAAGGAATTCTTGTTAGAGAATTGTTTTTATAATGTAGATGAGTACTACAATTTTAACTAAATAAGTATGGCTCCACTCGGTCTGTGTAATATTATTTATTTTTTTTTTGTTACGTGATATATGCTCTGTTTATTTTATATATATATTTTTTTATGTTTACTTGCCTAAATTATATACATTCTTTGTAAAACACTTTGTAAAACTGACTTTTCCAATACCGTGTAGCAATGGTCTTACTGGAATAAAGATTTTTTTTTTTTTTTATTAACACACACAACCAAACTTATATGGAATCGCCCAGTAATTTCGAAAAATAGAATATAATTCTATTTTTTCCAAACCAAGTTTATTACAAAAATAAATAAAAATTATTTAATTTTCTTAATAACAGAAAGTGTAGATTTCTATAAAAATAATTTTTCTGAAAATGACAATTTAACAAGAAATAATGCTATTCAAATAATTTTAATAATCAGTATTGCCACCTCTAGCATCGATGCAAGCACGAATTTGACGAGGCATGCTATCTATCAAGTTGTTGATTTCTTCTTGAGGAACATTTACCCATTTCTCTAAAACAGCTTGCATAAGTTGTTCTGTGTTACCAGAGTTATTTTGACGAGCTCTAATCTTTGTTTTAATCTTATCCCATATGTGCTCTATAGGATTAAGATCCGGTGAGCCAGAAGGCCACTCTAAAACTGCAACACCTTTCGTTTCTAAGGAAATTTTTGCAACTCTGCTGGTATGTGAAGGTGCATTATCTTGCATAAATAAAAAAATCTGATGTGTCCAACACATGACTTTCCTATCTAGTTATTATAGGCTTTTTCCGGTTATTTTGTACAACCTATTGCAGCACCTCTATAAATGTTTAGAGGATAAACTAAATATATACATTTTCCACATACATCTAACTCGAAACATTTTTCTATAGATATTCATTGAAAACGAAAATACTGAAAAATTTAAATTTAGCACTTTTCCTTCAATTTTTTCCAATACGGTCCATTTTAGAAAAATCATATAAAAAAACAAAAATTATAGAGATCGATATCACAAATAACTTTTATTTTAACAATTTTCCTAAAAATTTGAATTTTATTACATTTGGTCAAATTTATCGAATACAGACCATTTAAAAAAAAATTATAGAACCAAAATTATAGATAATAATATTGTAAGTAATTTTTATCTGAACAATTTTCTT